CTCAGGCTGAAAACCAAGGGCAAGAGTTACAGAACTCCAAACTGACATTTATATCAACATCCCCACATGCAGTCAGCTGCCCGAGAGGGTCTCCTCGAGGCCTGACCACCCATCTCCTTTAACAGCCTGACAATACAGCTTCCTTTCTCTGACACACTGAAAGGGCTTTCTCAAGGTCACCAATATAATTTAATGATTTAAAGCTGTTTGTTAACCCTGTTGGAGAGTCTAGCTGCTTCTGTAACAGGCAAGAGAGTAACAGAAAACAAACATTTCTTGAATGGTATTTTGAGAGAGAAGCGTCCTTTTGGTGCAGGAGGACAACTAAAGGAGGACCCTTCTCAGGCGGGGCCCTTACGCTCTAGCCCAGGATCCTTCGGAGGAAGACCTCCTTGTCAGGTCTAGACAGCTCTCCTCTTGTGTTCCCCACCTGCCGTCTGCAGCTGGCTGTGAGGCCCTTCCATAGGTGGCTACTCATGTGGGGTGCGGAGTAACTGGTTAGGGAGTTGCCCTGTCAATCCAAAGGAACACTGTTCGAATCTATCTGCTGTTCTGCAGGAGAGATGGGCAATCTCCACGTGTGCGATCTACAGCTTCTGAAACCACCACAGGGTCAGCCTGATAGCATAAGACAAGCAACAACACTGATGTAATCAAAGGATCTCTTGAATTTGTATTAAAGACGACCTTTTTATTGACAAGGAGGGAAAACTTTTAACTGTTTCAAACTAACTGAATTACTGGTCTGGTGGCTTAGTGGTAAAGAGTGTTGACAATCCAAAGGCACTGGGTTCAAAGCCACCAGCTGCTCCACAGGAGAAAGATGGGCATGATTTACAGTCCCTGAAAACCCACAAGCGGGCCATCTATGGGTCCATTCTGACTTGAATAATAACAATAACAACTGCCAGGTTTGTTCTGTCTTGATAAACTTCCTGATTTACCTATTTTATGTGTCTTTTCCCGAGAAAGGCTCCAATCAGGAAGGTCTGCATTGAGCCAATGTAGGCATCCCAAGGCCTAGGCACACACTCCATATAGGTGGGCACCCCAGGGCACCTGCTAAGAGCTTTCAGGTGCCAGGTGAGCAATCTCTGCAGGGCAGCCGTCATGAAATGCACAACGTGGTGGGTGATCAAGCATCCAACCAGAGACATGCCATCTGGGAGGGAGAAAACCTACAGGGCACACCTGTGCACGCCAGGGCTACCTGATACCAGGGCTAACTGCCCTGAGAGGCCCTGCTGTGGGCATCACCTCTACTTCTCTCAAGATAACCGTATCTTTCATTAAACTACCGAGTAAGCATGCACTCTCGCCCACACTCTGAACTGACCTATAAACACTCCTCAGAGCACTTCCTTATTGAAGCAGATTTGGGAAGCTCCAGCCCATCTCCTATATGGGAGCCTCTAGAATAAAACTTGTGCTCCAACCTCTGTCTTCAAGATAGATTTTTTTTTTAACATTTTCTACTAGTTTATTTACAGAAAATCGATCTTTTACTCAGGGTGAAGTCTCTCTCAGGGAGGAGTGATAGGGAATGGCAAAGGACACACTGACAAAGAAGATTAATCAGAACTGGCTTTGACAAGCACTGTGGCATTTGGACAAGAACAAATTGGGAGGAGGGTAGAGAGAATAGTGTAACAATGAATGAGTGGAAGCCCAAAATCTCTGTAAATGTTTATGAAAATTAATAAAATATAATTATAGAAAAAAAAAAAAGAAAATCGATCTTTTAATAGAGAACCACGTTTCTCTAGTAATACTCCCATGGTTCTCTTCCTACTTTTTGGGGCTTGGTAACAAAGGTTGATGATTCCAACCCATGAGCTACTCTGTGGGCAAAATAAAAACAGCTACTTTTTGCAACTGTGTTGGAACCAACTCCTAGCCGTCTGCGAGGCTGTGAGTCACACAGGAGCCTGCCCATCGTCCTCCTGAGTTGCCATCCGTGCTGTCAAAACACCAGAGAAGTGCAACATTTAAATGAGCAGCGAGCTCCCTAAGGGAATCTCCTTGTGGAAAGTCTCAACTTTGGAAACCTTGTGCTGGTCTTGTTGTGCACTGCTGACACACAGCGGACCTCCCATTAAGTTTTCAGAGGCAGGGGAAGAGACTGCCCATTCTTCTCCCACAGAGCAGCTGTTGGATTAGAACTGCTTGCCTATATATTGCGAGCATAATTCATTACCACTAAGCCACCAGGGCTCCCTGGAAACGCTAGGGGCAGTCTGTCAGAGTCATTGTGAGGGTTTTGGATTTGGTGAGAGGATGAAAGGCACCCAAGTGTCAAGGACTCTCCTTCATAGGGTCGCTATGAGTTGCTGGCAACTCGACGGCACTTAACAACAACAACAACAACAACAACATCCTGCCTGCACTGGGTCCCTTTCCTCTACCAACACCCAAGACCGAGTCCTTTCCCCCAAGTTCCTTGAGAATCTTATCTAGTACTTGTTAGCAACTGTCTTTTTTGTGTGAACCAATAAGAGTGGTCCTCGGATCTAGGGCCCTCCCTTTACAAACTCTAGCTCACTCTTTCCTGCTCCAGTCCTTCACATCACCACTGGAATGATGTCAATCAAATTCTTTTACTTAAAAGAAAAAAAAAAAATCCTTAATGATTCCTCATACTGCAGAATAAAACCTGTATTTCTTGTCAAAGTCTATAGAACTTGCACTTTTTCGTCCCTGTGGTCTCTGCAGTCCTTCCCAGCTTGTGGCACATTTCTATTCCAAACACATCTGACTCTTGCGAGGTATCAGCTATCAGAACATGTGAGGACTATTCTGCACCTGCTCCTTCCACCTCAAATGACCTTTCCTGCCCAGCTCACCAGGTCCACTTCTATATGGCCTTCTAGACTGTTCAGATCCACTTCTTTTACGACACCATCCCTGACTCCCCCAAAATGGAAATACCCTTTCTTCTTTCTTCTCTTCACATCTTTAAAAGCTGCTCAAATTAGATGGCATTTAGTTCTTGACTGGCCAGCTATTTGCCTGTGAGCTCTAGGACAAAGGCTGTCTTTAGTCATCAATGGAAATAGAACTGTTGTTGTTGTTAAGTGCCGTTGAGTCATACGCAACTCACTGTGACCCTATGAAGGAAAGTCCTCAACACTTATGTGACTTTCATCCTCTCTCCAGGTTCACAGGGTTTCTGGAGGCAAGCGGTTTCTGAAGTGGATGCCACTCCTGCTTCCACGCTTGTTTTAATCGGGACCTCCACCAAACACTGTCCGTCACGGTTAACCAGTAACGCATTTGGCACATCATTGTCACAGTGTTCAGCCTCACAGCAACCACAAGTTACCTCTGTGCGACAAATGGACACACCAGGGCTATACGACCTAGAAAGCAAGGCTACCAAGCCAAAAGTGGGTGACTTTTAATCCACGGCCCTCGGGTCTGAGTGGAAACACGCCTAGAAACCACTTTTAGTTGGGGAAGGATGAGTTTTGTTTCTATGCTTTTAGGGCTGGAGGTGACACTTCAAGGGGGAAAAGCAGGTCAGTATCAGATAAAGCAGATTTCAAAACACAGAAAATTAAAAGAGAAAAACTGTATGTAAAAAGAGGTCTTGACTTCACCACAAAGACAGTAATCCTAAACATGTCTGCACTAAACAACAGAGCACAAGATATAGAAAGCAGTAAAAGTGAAAACAAAAACAGATAAATAAAAAACTCCAGTGTCTTCAACACCTCGGCTGTTGGGGTAGTTGGCAGGTGCCATCGAGTTGACTACCGCTCATGGGGCCCCTGTGAACCACCAGCCTGAACCTTGCCATCCTAATCATTTCTGATACACTTGGGAGACCGCTGTGGCAGTCACTGTGTCAATTCATCTGGTTGAGGGCCGTCGTCTTCTCATGGACTGGGGAAGTGGCAACAATACCCACCTTTCCAAGCATAATGTCCCTTTCTAAGGAACAGCCCACCTAATAACAAGCCAAAGTATGAGACGAAGCTTGGCCACCCCTGCCTCCAAAGTGCACTCTGGTTGCACCTTCTCCAAGACTATCTGTTTGTCCTTTTGGCAGCCCATGGAATGTTCAGTACTCCTCTCCACAAGTTCCAAGGCATCAATTCTTCCTTGGGCATCCTTATCCACTCTCAGGGCGCCAGATGCACGGCCAGAGATAGAAAAGACCATGGCCTGAATCATCAACAAACGAATGGCTAGAGAAGCTGTGGTATATTCGCACAATGGAATACTATGCTGCATTAAAAAACAAGGAACTCATGCAATATTATT